TCAATCATTGGCTTTTTATGATCTTGAATTTAAAAAAAAATTACAGAAAATTCAAGTATTAATTATAGATGAAATATTAATAGTTTCTGCTTCATTATTTAATTTCATTTCTGATATATTTGCTAGAATTCACAATTTTGATATAGCATTTAGAGGTATCTGTATAATAGTTGCAGGTGATTTGATACAACTTTCACTAGAAAAAAGTGAAGCTGTATTTTATTTATCAGTATGGCAATTATTTCATCCATTATTTTTGTACAAATCCTAAAGACATAATGAAGATAATGAATTTTATAAAATTTTGGAAGAAATTAGATTTGGAAAAATATCAAATGCAACCTGAATAAAACTTATAGAAAAAGTAACAAATTATAATAATAATCAATCTCCAGATTCATTATTAACAACAATACATAATGTTGGATATTGTGAAATATCAAGACAAATCAACAATACAATTTGCAATCTATTTCTAATTAATAATGAAAAATATTTATTAGCAGAAGCTATAGATTTTATAGAAGGTAAACAAGTATCATCAAAACTTATTCAAACAGAATTTAAAACAAAATAAATATGCCACCAATAGTTAGATCCCAATAAGATGTATAAGTTATATATATAAATAACTCATTAATAAAAGAAAGTATATGCAATGAAACTATCAGTGTAATCACTGATATAAATAAATAACAACCAAGTTATAAATAGCATTTTGTGTATATAATGCAATTATTCAAAGTTGAATTACAAAAGAAACATTCTACTTTTATTTAAGGGTCAACTTGCATCTAAAACATAATTTCCATTACAAAACTCATTTTCTTTAATAATTCATAAAATACAGGGTTTTACCTTACATTCCATTTCAAAAGATCTTAGCCAACTATTTACATCTGATCAAGCATATACAGCAATCAGCAGATGTTCAAAATGGCAACATATTCAAATAATAAATTTAGATAAAAATTCATTTATAGTAAATCCAAATGTAATTAAAAAATATTTTTATCTAAAACAAAAAGTATCACAACTACTTTCAATTTAATAAAATATCATAATCTATACATATGCAATACATATTCTAGCAAATTTAATGAAAAAACTTATA